ATTTTATTCTGAGGAATGTATCTACGACTTTTTATTGTTGTTTGTTTTTTAATTCGGCTCAAAGGTTCTGAACCATGAGTCCTTACAGATGGAGCTACATTTGCAACACTGCACTTCTCTTGTCACCTTTCTACTCCATTGCGCTGTTGGAGGTTACCATCTTTCAGCAGACACGTGGAGGCACCAGGTGGGTGGTGCAGATAATTGTGCAATTTAACAGTGATTTCACTGCAAAGTAATGTGCCCACTGTAAATAACAGCAGCTAAGGAGAAAACTCTCCTTTCTGCCATCCTTACTACAAAGCTAAAACATGGTGGTGTGCTCGGATTGCAATTCCTTCAGCAGTTAAATCCATCAGGGCTCATGAGTGAGAGATCTGGGAGAGGAAATTGTATTTGGCAACATTATAACTAACTGAAAACAGAATCTGTTAATGGAACGTGTAGGACAGTCTTAGTTATAGGAATCCCTACTGGTACAATCTCTAGTATGTTTTTTACTTGCATTTGTAGGCATAGATATACAAAATAATTAGGAAGTGCAATATACTATTAATGCATCTGGTAAAATTTTGAAAGGAGAAAAAGAACTTAAAGAAACGTTGTAATTATTGAGATTTAAGTTGATGCATACATTTTATAACATAGCTATAAGCAAATTTTCAGCAGCAAATTTATTTCACATTACCGGGTATTTGAAGAAGCACAGAAACAATGACATTGCGTACCTGCATATGGGTATGTACCCATATGACACACACAACCAAAAATTGAAAATATTATCCCAGGATTTCCACATAAAGCATCAGGTACCCTTTATAATAGCTATGTATCTGTAATATAGACTTAACTGATTGTACCGTAAAATATTAACTAAATAATAAACAACTACTTAATTACATATTATTCAGCTGTGTATTTAATAAAGAATATGAAAAAAAATTATCTGTTAAGTTTTGTGTTTTTTACTATGGTGCAATGTCTCAGAAAAGTCTTTTCCTAGTTTGACCTAATCTGGCACCTAGCTATTAAAAATGTTGGATTAGGAGCCTGGTACTTATAGATAAAGCAAGTGCCATTGTAAGATGGCTTTTAGAAATGCAGAATTTATATTGGTCTTGGCCACATTTAATTTGGTGTTAAATAAAGGAAGCAGCTAATTAAATGGCATCTTATCTAACATGCAGCAGACTCATGGTAGTGAATTATTTTGGTCTTCTCTGGTTTGATTATAGTAACCAGAATTTTTGGCATGTATTTCGGCATTTACTTTAAGACATGTTTAAAAAAAAAAACTTCTTTCAACACATGAAACAAACAAAATGTTCAACAGAAAGTCTGTATTTAAACGTGCTAACGAAATAATGTCTCAGTAACAGTGGTGTGATAGTCATGCTAGTCCCAGGATATCAAGATATAATCTTTGAAGTGATTTAAAGATAACGAAGAATATTTCTTTAAATAATCATGGCTATGACTACCCCATTACTTTAACATAGCAGATAATAACTTTCGTTCTTTAAAATGGAAACTGTGCAATAGTCCTGATGAAGGGATAATGGACAAAATTTAACTTGCCTTTTTCTCTCTTGTTTTCTTGTAAGTGCCTAGTAGAAAAACATTTATACTTTAGGAGTTTTCTGATACGTTTCCATGGCAAGACTATTTGAGTTAGGCATTCTCTGAATGCGCTGGCCTATTATATCTATGTTAAATTCACCATTAGCAATTTCATGCCTCAGGGAGGGCACATCCAGGATAAAGAATATAGTTAGATTAATAGTTGCTAAACAGTATCTAAGCTGGTTAGAGCTGTGGGCCTGAGTATAATTTCCTTTCACTGTCCTGGAGTTTGTTGTTAACTGCTGATATGTCTTTCAGAAAGTAATACACAGATACAGTTTCGGCTGATGTCTTGTTTTTGGAACTATGCTAAAATTCTCACATTGTTCTTCTAACTCACCTAATTATGTTGATAGCTTAAATATAAATATCTGAGGTAAAATCTGGCTGTTTCCAACATTTTCTCTATAGTTTGATTAGTTTCAGTTTCTAAAGTGAGGTAAAAATCTGGTTTAGAGAGTTTATTAAAACATGTCAAAGTTTACAAGGTTATCCCATTACAGATAAAAGATCTGATCTTAGGGAACTTGGGGCTGTGTTAGGTCATAAGCATTCATATTTCTTTCCATTACAAATTTAGGCTATTTCACAAAACAATGTGGGTATTTGCAAAAAAACTCCTTGCATTTTGACAAAAATTAATTAGTACATCTATGTTAAATATATAGGTAACAAATTAACTTGATTTCTCACTTTGAGTTACCCGTATACACAGTACAATTCTGACATTTCTGATAATACACAACAGATACAAATTTTAACTGTAACATTACCCTGCCAACAAAAATCAGTATATGATTTGACAGCAACATTTGACATATTTAAAAGCTTGGTGTTTGAAATTAAAATAATCTCAAATTAAACTAAAAAATTTATGTCTTTTAGCTTTTTTTTTTTAAAAAAATTATTTTCACTTCTAACCATGCATCCAGTTTTGAAGGAATGTTTACATTGTCATTGGACTTGAGGCCATTAGACATTTTTGTATGTGGTTTCAACTAACTCCTTCGTGACATATACCTTAGAGAACTTTATGTTGAATTATCTAGAAAAGGAAAGAAAGAATTTTCTTACTTATATCCTCAGTCATATTTTAACTTAGGAACTGATCATGTCTACAAGAAGATACTTTTTCAAAGTCCCTCTTTTGCAAACATCTCCAAGTGATAAATGGGCCATGGAAACAACAAACCATCAGAGCTGTGGGAAAGCAAAGTGTGATGGTTTTGGTTTTTTTTTTCCCCAAAGGTAAGTGTGGAACAAAACAAGGATGACAAGTAGAGAGAGTATAAACCTATGCAAAGGCTCAGTTTTTCCACTTCTCCAAACTGCCTGCAGTTCCAGCAGTTTTCAGAATCGATACCATTAAAGAGTTACTTTAGGGATTTGTGTACACACCGTTATTTTTTATTAAGTAACACAGACAGTATCACAAATACTCACTAACGCAATCTGAAGTCTAATAATATTTCCATTCATAAAGCCACTGTCAAACTAACAATGAATATAAAACTTGATAAATGTTTGGGAATAGTCTTTCTATTTTCTTGGGTGTTGCCTAAAACCAATATACTTCAGAGACTGTATATTGCAATAGAGGCAATAACTAGGCATAACTAGGCAACAGTCTGATTACACAGGCGACGACTAACCATGTACAAAAAGGAGAACTTCTCTGTGTTTTTTGGAAAATATAGATGACATATAAACCTGTGTTCAGAGATTCAGAGCACATCTAACAAGCAAATGCCTATTCATCTAGAATGGTCATGTGAAAAATCAATAATCTCATCACCAACACTTCCTGACATTGTTTTTCTGACTTATTCTGAAAAACCAATTCTTTTTCTCTAAGCCAAGCCAGTCCAGTAGGGGTTATTAATTGATATGATGGGGAAAGATTGTGGTGCTGTACTTCAAGTCACCTTTCACTGCTACGCGTTTATCTGGGAGGCAGCAAGCAAACTCACACAGTGAACAAGCCCAGGAGCTTTCCATAAGGCATATACAGGCTCTAAGGGTAGGTTTATATCCTATTTCAAGGATGATTGGCCTAAAAATTAAAATAATATTATCCCAAAAGCATTCTGTTCTTTTCTTTTAAGGAAACAGCTCAGAATCCATAAGTTATTGACTTCTGTATGAAAATCAGGTAGCCTCATGAGCCAACTAAATGGAATTCTTCTTTTCTGTAACTTAAATAGAAAAGTTTAATAGTTTAATGTAAAAAAGAGGTTCACCTATGATCTATTATACTTGTAATGAATAGTTTATATTCTGGATGATAAATACTTCACTGCTTTTCAATATCTCAATTTTTTTTGCCCATTTGACTTTTTTTGGCCAAATTCAATTACAAATCACTTGAATAAATATACCTTTTTTTTTATCTTTTTGGTACACTTTTTTCTAACTTACCTAATTAGGAACAATTAATTATAACATTTTTTTCTGAGAAATTTTGTCTTACATTAAGACCTTTTCTGTTCAATATTGCTCAGAAAAAGCCACTGATTTCTTAAATTCTTTGTAATACAGTTAGCAACGCCAATTATGTGCTTTGATGTCACTTGAGGAATAACCTGTAACAACCATCTGTAAAAGTATTAACTTCCAATACTAGTCATTTAGCACCCAATAAGATTACAAAATATATGTATTACTCCTTGCTATATGCAACTATGAAATAGGACAATATCTAGCAATCATGCCTCTCTGATAAGTTGCTAGAGCTCTGCTAACTCTTTGGGAAGTTCCATTAGGCAAAACGTTAGTCATGGTAAGATGTACCTCTAAATACAAAGACCCCGACTTAATTCTAAAACATGTTGCCATAAGCTTTCCCACTGTTCCGCCATAAAAATGGCTTATAAAGTTGAGAAAAGACAAGCATAGTGCTAGAATAGATTTTCATTATGTCTGTGGATTGCACTGTATCCAATGGGAACATTACATTAATAGTGAGCTGAAATTATGCATTTTTATGCCTCTTTGTTCAGCAGCAGAAATGACTAAATCTACTGTTAGATTTTTTTAAATATATTCAGCACTTAAAGAACTTATTAATATAGCACATAAAAATATTTTTATAAAAAAGGACAACTAAGCTATTCGTCTCTTACATTGCACAATTTCTCACAGATTTTTCAGATTCCCTCTTGGCAAAGCTACACTAACTTGACAGCTTTGTCAGCCTTATGTGCACTGTATATTTTTTAATGTATCTCATGGAACCAGTGGATAAATGAGTAGGGAAATGCTTATCTGTGGGATTAGGTAAGTAATTTTGCTATTCACTTTAGTGAGCTACGATGCTGAAGTAATTCACATTGATAAGTGTAGGCTACAGCTGTTTCTAATTCCAGTCAGATATTTACCTCTCTCTGTCCGAGGAGTAGTGGTCATCTATAACACGGTGTCTATCCATTCGGTTCAGGGTATTGTAATGAGCAGGAGTAGATCGAATCCCTCGTGGTCCCTGATCCACATTCCGACTAAAGATAAAAGACATCAGATTCTGAGTTCTGAGTGCGCCTGGACCACATTCCCTCACTGGTTTGTACAGACAATTATTAGCAAACATGGCAGCAGTGAGATGTGTTAGTCAACTTGTCTTTTTTATACTTTTACTCTCACATAATTTTAAATCTCATGGTAAAGAAAAATTTATCCTACAGAAAAAGGTGCTAAGTCCATGCTAGGGATAGGGTTTTTTTCTTTTGTTTCAAAGTTTGTTTATTCTGGAAATTGAGAGGATAATTTTTTTTTTTTTAATTAACAAGGTTAATTTTAGACAAAATTTCATTAGTCTTTCCAGACTAGTACTTTCAAGGAAAATTTCCTTTCTATCTGAAAGATCCACTGTAAAGAATTTTCCATGAGCTCTTGAGTTTCACTATACTATAAAGACATCGACTGTAGTGAGACACAATGAGGACTTCTGGCTGTTATGGTAGAGTGCAGCCTGATGAAAACATTGTCATCTGAATTAAACAACAGATGCTAGTTTTGCCCCGGAAAGTTTATTCTGTAATCTCACTAGCATAGAATCTGAAAAAGAACTGCTTAATTAGGTGTTAAGTGGTACCCATCGTGCAAGCTTCGTTAAAGAGCACCTATCACCTTTACAGTTTTGTACTATTTGAGACCAAAGCTTTGCCCATTGATTGCTTTAGTCAGTTTAACCATTAAGACCTACTGATACACGCTAACTTCACTTTTTCTGGTCAGTAAAACAAATCCACAAGAATAGGAAGATAGAAAGACAACAGTTAATTGTCATAATTATTGGACAATTAAAACATAACTGTTTTATATAGATTTGAGAATAACAGTTTGCATGCTTCCCTCCACACCAATTCAAATTTTAGACCAATAAATTCTTCTGCCCCCTGCCCTTTCCTGCAGTCTTCTCTAATGTGGGCCTCTTTTTTTTTTCTTTTTCACTTTTATACCATTCAGTTCCTGTGTCCTTCCTTGTCACTTTGTCTGCCTTTTTGGTACCTGTCATCCTTATCCTTTGTCATTTGCCAGTCCCTGAGTAGTGTTAACCTGTATGTGTATCCTTCAACTGCTGCTGCCATGCTGTTGTCTACTTTTGCATATAAGTGCTATGAAGATGTTGCATTACACGTAAACTTTTGCCTTCAGCTCTACTTCATTTCTCATAAAGAATTTCTCCACTCTGGCTTTCATGAAGTCAAATATAAAGTTTACTCTGGCTAGTAAACTTTATATTTGCTATTTTAAAAGTGAGTATAATTCTTCTACCTTCTACTCTACAACTCTTTCCTGCAACAACTTCTCTGTGCGTGTTTTAACTCCCTTATTTATGCCAAAATGATAGAAAATCCAGTACAGCCTTCACCCTGCCATTGGACCCTGTCATGTACATTTGTACTCTAAAATGGACATAGGCAGGGCTCCTCTGCTGTTCTTTGTTAATATTTTTACTTTTCTCAACAACAAATTTTCACTTCTACTTTCTGAACTCTAGTTTCTGTATGACCCTTTTCCTCAAGGTCTCTCTTTTCATTCAAGCTTCAAAAAAAAACTTTGTTTTTTTTCCTGTCTAAGATATTATGATCTTATTTTACTCTTCTTTTGATTTAAATAGTTAAGCTTTCTCAAGCTGTCATTTTTTTGCAAAACTTCCCAAAGATATAACCTTTGCTGTCTGCCCACACAATCAAAACTCCTGCCTAAACTCTGACTATAAACCTTAGTCCTGAAAACTCAGTACCATCCTGTCTGCTCAAATCACTTTCAATAAGATTGCATTATCAGCTTATTGTTCTAAATAAATAATTTCTTCTTTAAATTTCTGTATTATATCAGATTCTGACTTCATGCTGCTTTTTAACATCCTACACAACTGTATTTCTCCTACTTCAAAGTGTTACTACTATTTCAGTTCTGTTTCACTCTGCTAAGGATGTCTTTGTCAGCCAGATTTACTGTTTAACAGAAAATGACACACTTTCTCCAATTAAACTTGTTCTATAAGAAAAGTCGCTTTCACACCATAAGTCTTCACTCCTTTGGAACTTTCTTGCAGTTGACAGAACATGTATGAAGCAACCAGATTAACAGGTGAAAAGGTGTAATTGCAGGTGGTGATGGTAGAGAATAGCGAGCATCCTACTAGATTTACCACACTGATTCAGCCTACCCACTTTCTATAGTCACCTTCATATTGCTTTTTCAAATGCACAGTCTTAGGAAAAGCTAAACATGATGTTGTTCAGTGCCTGACACAGTCTAAACTCCATTTTGATCTACAGAGAGAATAACAATCCATTAAATACATTAGCTGAAAACATTATAAGAGCAGTAACAATTTCTTGTCAGCTACTACGCAAAGTGGTTTTAGCGGCCTTTATTAACAAAATCCGGTAGAAGGACTGAGGGCTGCAAAATGGCTTCTAAGATATAACAGCAGCTTGCACTTCTATGGCCCAAGAGGTCCTGCCTGCAGAGGCATCAATCAGTAATTGGGAGATCTCTGGGCGTGCAGCATGCTTACTGCAGTTAGAACATGCCTATAGCTGCACAGGTACAACAAACTCAACTAAATATAGTGCATATGTGACTAAAAATCCTTATAGCTTTGATGAGTATACCTGGATTTTCATTAGAATTAAAAAAGATATTTCTGTAATCCAAGGATTATGCTTCTTTTCTACAAACTCTCGAGTTCTGGCAAGTCAGTTCTCTGGGCTCAACAAGTCTTCAAAGAAATGATTTGGTGTCTGGGCAGGGAAATATTACAAAAATAATGTGTTTGATTGTGACACTGTAGGAAACAGCTGAAACATTTTTCTCCATATATTCAAAACTATATTAAAAAATTTAGCTTTTGGAAAGTCAGGAAGCAAGAAACCTTTCATACATGTGTAAGAAATGCAAAACTACAAGAAAATGAAAAGAAGTTTTTTCATTGGTGGTAGACAAGTGCTGCTTACTAGCTTGGGTAAAAGTTCTGCCCAAAATGCACACAGCATGCATGCACACACAAAAACACACACACACACAAAGAGATCTTGCTCACACCTATGTCTATATCCAAGACAAATAATCCCAGGAGATTTAGCATAGGCAACTACTTAGACTGCAACCAGTACAGCAGAAATCAGAATAGGCCCCTCTGTGTCTACGGTTTATGTTTCAATCAAAGTCAGGCTGTATTTACATACGGTTTTAGATTTCAAGTAGAAACTTACAGTTTCTGCCTGTTAGCTGTCTGTGATGATATGGGATAATTTGGGATCCTAATACCTCACTAATGCAAAAGGATATCATTTAGTCTGTATCTGTTAGAGGAAATGGTAAGTAATTACATAAGTAAGAGAATATGAAGTCAAGAGACTTAAGCTAACAAAAAGAACAAAGGAAACAGAAAGGAAAACAGAATACGAGAGAATCAGAATGGCTGCAGAAGAAGAGGACAGACACATGTACCTGACAGGAAATAGCGGATACCACTTCTTCAGTATTAAATGGGAATTGTGAACATTATGGGCAAAGAAAACAACTTCCCCTTTTATTCCAGCTGAATTACACCAGCTGGAAACCTACCCACGCATAGTGACAGAAATGCTGGAAAACAGGCTTCATTCCCCATTACATCTATCCTTCTGCTTTCTCTTAAGAAAGCTTATCCATAGAGGAAAATTCTTAATTATGGCTTAAACAGTGTATTCAATCTAGTAGTAATTATTCAAAATTGCTAGCTTTTGGAATAATCTTTGTTTCACAAGATAAATAGTTATCAGAGGCCTTCTAAGATCAGGAGTTGACATTTTTCAGTATAAAATTGTATGCGTGCCAATTTATTTTTGATGCGTTAAAAGTTTGAAAAAAAAAACAGTAGAAAGAAAACTACTATGGCCAGGAAGTACGGCTCTCCCAGAACCTTAATTCTACACAGACAAAAAGGTTGAAAACAGCCATTGACAAATGAACACTAAGAAAACGTCAAAGCACCACATGTCATAAAACATGGTACCTTCTAAATAGCTCTTGAAAACAAAATCTGGTTAAATATTTTTCTGTCCTTACATTGGAATCTACTGATTTTTGATGAAATATAAGACAAAATTAGGTGAATTTTTGAACATCAGTATAATATAAGAAAAAACATTATTGGCTTTACATGATTTCATAAGGTCTAACTAATTCATTGCCATTTTGAAAGTGTGGAGATTTTTTCCAGTATTGTTACAGGATCAACATCACTTAAATTTATATACCTGCACAGTTAAATAGCAGTTTACCTTTGTGGAGGAGGGACACTGGGAGACCACGATCTAGTCCGTCCTATACTATCTCCACGGTGAGGGGACCCTGATCGAGAGCAATGATTAGATGACATAACTTGTTCTGGCACTGATAGCGTTGAACTTTGAAGATCTCTCCCATTATGTCGATAATCTAAAAAGAAATGGAAATATTCAATGAATCTGAAATTGCACTTTTTAATTTCCTACTACATCTGTATCAGAAGCATGATAAAAGATGAAATTTGACCAAGAATGTTATCATATCTTCTTCTTGGTTTTTGTAGTAAAACATACATACGTATTTTTTTTCCTGCTGTTCTGCTTAATTTAAGTAAAGTTATAGTTCCTATAGTTATACTTTAAAAGTATAGAAGTAAATTGCCATGCACCAAACTGGGAATTTATAATAACCAAAATATCCAGATTTACCATTTATTTGTGGTCAATATGATGCATTAATAATAAAACTAATAAAACTGACTTTTTTCCTTAGAATAATACACAAAATTGATTATTGCATTTTTAATTAAAATTTTATTGTAATGATTGTGTATAATAGACTTCAAACAGAAATGTCCACAATTAAAAACTAATCCAAAGTTCAGTTTAAAAATTTGGGATAGGAAACTACTATGGGGTTAAATACAGAGTTTGGGTTCAAGAAATATTTGCATTTCAGAAACAATTAAAGTAACAATGACTCAATGACATCAAATTTCACTCATGGTTCTGAACTTAAACAGTATGATTCTGTCACAAATATACAAGTTAAGGCTACACAGAACTTGCTTACATCCTTGATCTCATCTTGAGTTAGGATAATAAAAGGCATAAATGGTCTAAGAAAAACCTACCCAGTTACAATAGCTTGAAAGCCTACCACATGGACATTATACACAGACTTTTAAGAAAAATCTTTTTAAAAAGCTAGATGTATTAAAGGGACTGTCTCCGTTTATTGGAAAAGGCTGAATTCACTGTCCCAGAGTATGATACTCCCTGTGAAAAAAAAGATGCCAGATATACAGCAATTTCAAAGAAGTTTCCACATATTTTGTGAGTATCAAATAAATATACAATGATAAGAAATGGAAGAGTGGCAAATCTTAATCTGATTATAATGTTTTGCAGATATAGGTCTTCACACAGCTCCTGGTGGCTATGACAACTGATATAACTGACTTTTGTTCTGAAGGCAGTAACCAAGTAAAGAATATTTAGGCAGATCCACTTGGCACTGGAAAAATTCTGGCTCATAAAACTGTAATTCTTTTCCCATGAGAATCTTCTGAGACTCCTAGAATATCTGGTCGTCTACTCTAGATTGTTCTTAGTTTTCTTCCTGGAAAATATTCGGTAAGCACCTGAGCAAAACCTTATTAATTCAGTCCATTTCATGGTTCCAAGAATGTTTGATACTTCCAACTGAGTATTTGTATTCATTGTATGGCCTTAGGACCAAGGATATATATGAACCACTCTAACTCATAAATAACTTCTTCCTCCTCTGTTTAGGTGTAAGCTGCTTTGTGTGTGTCTGTGTATGTGTGTACGTAAAGGGGAAAAATAGTACATCATCATTGCATTACATTGATATAATGACGTTGAGGATCAGATACTCTCTCCTCACTTCAAAGCAATCAAGTCATGTTACGTGAAGTCTTAACTGAGAGTCAGTAATGAACTACAGACTTTTATCCCATGTATGAAGTACACTTCTTAGCATACTCACTGATAAAGCATGTAAGGATCAGTGCAACAGCACAGTTCTGGGTGAAATCATCAAAGGTAAGACGGGGGAATTTTATCTATGTTTGGAACAGGGTGTTGTTCACTAACCAGTAAAGTATAGATGATGTCTGAATATTGTTTTTGCAAGTCAGTCTGGAAATCAATAGATTCCGCAATTCTGCAATTCTTTAACGAAAAAAGAAAGAGCTAAAGTAACAGCTGAAAGCTCAATAATACAAAATAAAAAATGTAACAAAGCATTAACAAATTGCTTAATTAAACAAATCAATGAGATATTTGCCAAAATATTGTCCTCAATACAAAAAATAATGCACAGAGAACTAGTTCTGATTGGTAAAACCAGCATTTCTAGAGAACGCAGGGAAAGGACATACAAGATACTTATTTTAATTTGCCTGGAAGCTGGAAGAACATGCAATGGACTGTAGAGCACAGAGAGGCAGAAAAAAGAAGAGGATCATTTTGCAGGTTCTTTGAAGACCCTGGTCAAGATGATACCAAAAGAAGAATTCTACAGGTAAGAAACAGGCAACCAAGGGAATACAAGAGACCTGCAAGAAGCTTTGTAGGCCACTATCTGCTACCTCAGAGAGCAAAAGAGCTATAAGCAATTCTGTGAGCTAAGACCACAAGTGAGAACTCTGCAGACTTGTTTTGGATAGACTAAAAGTTATTTTCTCTATTCTTAAGTGTTATTTTTTATATTTTACTGATTTTAATTTATGGTATATATATATATCACTAAGGCAACAAGCTATGTGTTTCACTGAACTGATTCAAAGGCACTGTGTACAGAGTAAGAAATGTACTGAACGAACCAGCAGTTATTATGCTATGATATGATACCATATACTAAAATAAAACAATAGCCCAAATCCATATTTTCTACAGAGGAGCCCAACTGAAACTGGGATAATTTAAAAAGGCTTGGTTTAACTATGACGATAAGTGATTAATTGCAAACAGCATCCTTACAATGCACACCACATCTTTTCTAATTTCACAGTGAACAACTTATTTTGACAATGTTTAATATTTTCATTAAAAAATTGAAAAATCTGGGAAAATAGCTTATCAGTTATTTTTACAGATTGTATTTTTTAAGGTATTCTACCTGAATGAACATAATGAAGGGCAAGGAATTCAATTAACAAAACACAAACAAAAACCTTCTCTGTCTAAAAAATTCCTAGAAGTGAGAACTAGTAAAATAAAAAGGAATTTGTGGCTTTCATTGACACCTGAGCTTCAGAGGAAAGACAAGCAATCTGTGATTATCCTGCAGCCACAAGAGACGCAGAGAGCGCAATGTGCCAGCTCCTTAGTTACAAAGCTTCAGGAAGATGATAGTAACACAAAGCTTACATGGGAGGCTTAACATGCCTAGCACCAACCCATACACCCCAGAAGTGGCCAACACTGTAATAAATATGTTTAGCAATCAATGCTAGAGTTCTTCTAAACCCCAAACAGACTTTAAAGCTGCTATTGATGATTGACTGGCAACGGGATATGAAGTGGTAACTTTGGTACTCCTAACTTGAGAACCTAAATTCTCTCTAGAATGTGACTGGTTTTGCTCGCCCAGGAGTTGAAACATTCATGTCTTTCTCAACACAGGTGGCATTCCAAAAATTATGGTGACAGTCTCGATTGAAAAAGGTATGATTTAACTTCCTATTTCAAAAATATTCCATGTTCTGGAAACAAGGTTAGAGAAAGAAATTAAAAATATTTTCTTGCAGAAAGAAATGATAGACAGTAAAAACAGATCATAACTGCAATTTGACCAAGGAGCTGCTATTGAGCAAAGCAGATATTTATTTATAGCAGTAGTAAAAATAGGATAAACATTGGAATCTGCTTGCAGCTATAAATATAAAGTCACTACCACAGAATCAAAGGCTCTATAACTATGGCAAGCCTCTTAAATCAATGTACAGAGCACACAGAACCTCATAATCACTATAGAGAGAATCAGTGATAAACAACTGTGAGCTGCGGACACTTAAAATGACAAAGATATCTGCAACACCACCATCACCTTCTTTTCATGGGAAGGTTTCATTAAAAACTATGATACACCCTCATCAAATGAGGGATTTTACAAGGCATACTAAATATAGCATCCTCTGAGCTGAAGTTTTAATTTTATCTGTTTTAAGAGAGAATATGAATAAATTTGACTTAAAGTGTTCATCCACACAGTGTGGCTGTACTGTGCTAATATTATGCTATGCAGGGTACATGTTCAGTAAACACTGATAGTAATGAATTTTTATCAAATTCTGCAGATTTCAGGCACAAAATTACAGAAAATCACAAACCTCCAAATATGAGGTTCACACCAACAGCACCAAAATAACCCTAAAAAACCCAACTGAAAAGTACTAATGAAGCTTTTTAGATGTCTTGCTGCTTGATTGAAATGAGAGAAACTCTTTGTATGAAAATTGTCCTAGAAAAGCAGTATTAGAATTGTGCTCATCATAGGCAAAATAATTGACTTGTTTCAGACACTGATGCTAAGTGACATTTTCTCCACTTTAACATCTGTGCTTGATTGAGGTGTCAAGTTTTCTTTTTATCAGATATTTAATTTTTAACACTCACTGTGGTTGGGCTCAGAACAAGCACTAATTAAAAACAATTATATAATCAAATTGCCAGAAATGTTTAACATACTAATATTTCACACATGGGCACTTTGGAGATTGTTCAGTTCTTTTATACAAATGTGCCCAGCTTCTATGGTGATTTGAACATCTAAACACAGAATCTGGATGTCCTCTGAAAAAGTGCTGACAGTAACTAATCAGATAAATTGAATTATTAATATCTGAATACTGTGTAAGTTGAAGATACATTATGCATGGAGTTTTTTTGCATCAAAACATTATTCTACAAATATGGGAAGAATGAATATATAGTGAAGGAACCAGAAAACATTATGGTAGGAACAACTGGTTACTTGCTGGATAGTAACTCAGTTCCTCAAGAGGTGTTTTTAGCTCTACTGCACTAATGGTATGTATGGGTCCATTAGACTTTAGACAATTCTTTTGATCATTAATGCATATGAAAGGCATTCCCCCACAGTAATAAATCAGAGATTGCTGAGTTTTCAGTGCTGTCCTTATACCCAGTATGACATATAGAGCTTGAAAAAAAATCACGGTTACTATACAGATAACATTTATTCTTAAGTACTCATCCATGTATATTTTCTGCTGTCCAGTACATCCCCCAAATTAGTTTCCTCTCGACACTGTTGATTGGAATTTATCAGTCCTTACACAGAGCATTTCCTTCCTAGAAGTGCTCATCATCACATTTGTAACTCATCCCAACTAGGGTTTCCCTTATGTGAGAAGCATCCATTAAGAGAGTCTCTGATTG